TCGAGGAGTACAACAACTACGCATTTTCTTGTGGAACCTACTACAGCAAAGCCGCCACCGCGAACGAAGATGGCTGCCACGACCTCCTTCTTGTGTCCTTGCTCCAGGCAGTTTGCCGTTCCAAGGAGGCCTTGATGGTTGAACTTGGAAAGCTAGAACGGCGCTTTCAGTCCTGGCATAAAGGGTCTGGTGAAGGACACCCCAAGCAAGGATAGAAGGTATCTAGTCTAGAATTGACTGGAAAATTGTTTGTACACCCCTCACATCGGCCATACTCATCCCTCCATATTTTGTTACTTTCCCCCTCTATGTTACAGCAAGCCTTGACTAATAATTGTGATGACAGCTCATCAATCGAATGACAAAACTGCCTTACGTTGTCACGGCGGTAGGTACTGGCCTTCGAATACACATCAGTCGACTATACAAATAATATCCAAAGGGATGGGTTTTACTATTGTCCTATTTCCTGGTTTCTGGCCCTGCAATTCCCGTGAGCTGGTTCGGTGATATATGCAAGTTTAGTATACTCCCCTGGCCGGACCTTACAAGACCACAAACATGCCTTGAAAACGGCCCAGCAAACAGCCCCTACATCGGCCCTGAAAAATGTCTTCAATATTCCCCCAGAATGGCAATCTAATGCCTCCCCACTTTCTACAACAGAACCCATCTAGCCAGGGAATCTCACTTGGTCAAGTGCAATTTCATGATTGTGCCAAGCAACTTGTGGTCATAAGTCGGAGGGGAGGGTTTCCGCCAGGGGGGGTTTCCGTATTTTCCATACAACCAATGTATGCCACCCAACCCCCTCGATATATTTGGGCACCACGTGTTCAATTCTGATACGTTTTTATTGCTCTCTTCAATTCTGTGATCCCCAGCACCGTGGTTCACATACATAGTGAAAAGAACTTGCACAATGCCTGTGTACAGGTGCTATGAGTGCGCCAAGTCAAAGCTTGCTGGAAAGGTTAAGGCAGAGAATTCAGCTTCGGAAACCAATTCTGAAGGGTCTACCGTTGAAAGTCATATAGAAATAGATGGTTCTGATGTAGATAATTTGAATTGAACAAAGGGGGTGGGTGGTAAGAACGGGCCAATACAGAAGTTACGGAAACCCCCCCTGACGGAAACCCCCCCCTCTGACTTATATTACCCAATCACTCGTTTCCTGCCTTTGAGTCAATGAACTCTCAAATGGCTTCGGATTGTTGCATACTGATAATAATTCATGACAAATAAGTTGATACCTAAAATTTCCACCTGTTTCCCATTGCCAAATCATTAGCTGAAAAAAAAGGCTCTCAAGCTTTCCAATCTGCGCTTCTGAGTAGTACAGTACAAATGTCCCCCCAAAGATGAGAGTCTTAGCTCTGAAAGCAAGAGTAGACTTTGTCATAGTCTTGGACAGTTTAGTAGAGTGTCACCAGGTTGCTGCTTTCCTCCCCTGGGCAAGCCACTCAAGCCAGGTGCAATTCAATAATAGTATTTCATTAAATGCAACCTGGTTGCATCAGTCCTTAGAGGAATTGAGATATGCCAATCACCCACCACTCCCCCAAATAGATACTGCCACCTAGTGGCTCCATGAGGAAGGAGCGGACCCTGTCCGTAGGTCTTTGGTCATAACTTGGCTCATCACATCATCTGCTTAATTAAATTCTTCCCTTGATTCCCAGTGCCTACCATCCTCAAACAGTGCTATGCTGTTAAGATTAGATCTCACATAGCCAGAGGTAGCACTATGCCATGAGCATGTTAGAAGCCCCCTAACATCTCTACTTCCTAGCCCTGATCTCTTCCCAACAAGCACAGTTCTCCAACCACCCAAACCAATTTAAGACCCGGCACAGGCCCCCCCCAACATCCCCAACACTACACATCCTCCTCCTACCTTTTCGCACCCCAGAGCAATTCCCATTACCAAGACAAGATGTCTGATAATTCACCATCACCCAACACAGCTGGACTACAGCCACCCGATCACTTGTTTACCTTCTCACCCTTCATACCGCTTGAACAAGCCACTGGGGATATGCACCGTACATACCTTATCCTCTGTCATGCCAAAATCGAGGAGTACAACAACTACGCATTTTCTTGTGGAACCTACTACAGCAAAGCCGCCACCGCGAACGAAGATGGCTGCCACGACCTCCTTCTTGTATCCTTGCTCCAGGCAGTTTGCCGTTCCAAGGAGGCCTTGATGGTTGAACTTGGAAAGCTAGAACGGCGCTTTCAGTCCTGGCATAAAGGGTCTGGTGAAGGACACCCCAAGCAAGGATAGAAGGTATCTAGTCTAGAATTGACTGGAAAATTGTTTGTACACCCCTCACATCAGCCATACTCATCCCTCCATATTTTCTTACTTTCCCCCTCTATGTTACAGCAAGCCTTGACTAATAATTGTGATGACAGCTCATCAATCGAATGACAAAACTGCCTTGCGTTGTCACGGCGGTAGGTACCGGCCTTCGAATACACATCAGTCGACTATACAAATAATATCCAAAGGGATGGATTTCACTATTGTCCTATTTCCTGGTTTCTGGCCCTGCAATTCCCGTGAGCTGGTTCGGTGATATATGCAAGTTTAGTATACTCCCCTGGCCGGACCTTACAAGACTACAAACATGCCTTGAAAACGGCCCAGCAAACAGCCCCTACATCGGCCCTGAAAAAATGTCTTCAATATTCCCCCAGAATGGCAATCTAATGTCTACCCACTTTCCACAACGGAACCCATCTACCCAGGGAATCTCACTTGGTCGAGTGCAATTTCATGATTGCACCAAAGCAACCTATGGTCATATATTACCCAATCACTTGTTTCATGCCCTTGAATCAATGAACTCTCAAATGCCTTCAGATTGTTGCGCATTGGTAATAATTCATAACAAATAAGTTGATACCTAAAAATTTCCACCCGTTTCCAATTGCCGAATTACTAGCTGAAAAAAAAGTCCCAAGCTCCCATATCTGCGCTTCCGAGTATAGTGCAAATGTTCCTCCTACAACAAGAGACTCAGTTTCGACACCCAGAGTAGGCTTTCAAGTTGTCATAGCCTTAGACAGTTTGGTAGAGTCTCACAAGGATGCCACACTCCCTCCCCCAGACAAACCTCTCCAGCCAGGTGCGATTGGATGAATGTAACCTCATTGCACCGGCCCTCCGAGGAATTGATATATGCCGATCACCCATCGCTTTCCCGAATATATACAGCCACCTAGAGGTCCCGGGAGGAAGGAACGGATCCCGTCTGGAGGTACTTGGTCATAACTCAAATCCCTACCTCATTGCCTTAACCCATGATAAACCTCCCGTCGATCCCAGGTGGTTACCCCCCCCCCCCAAACCCTGTGCCCAGAGCAATGTTAGGTTCTACGGAACCCGATTTAAAGCTCCACCGCGAGCGCGGTAAAAGGGCCGACACTCACATCTCTATAAATAGGAGTGATTGCTCCTCAACAAACCCAGTTGTCCCCTCCCCGTCCTGGTCGACACGGGACATCAACACATATCTTTCTCAACACCGTCTCTGCAACACATCCCCCCCTCTCCCTCCTATTATACTTTACTCCCTCCTATGCAACATCACACACTATATCATCAAAGAAAATGTCCGGCAATCAATTGTCCCCCATCGGAGCCACGCCCCCAGCCCCCGACATCTCACTAATCTGCTCCCCCTCGGACCATACGCCAAAACCGCAATCTAACTTCCCTCTGGCCACCCGGGCAATGTATGGCACCTACCTCGCATTCTGGTACGCTAGAATCGAGAAATACAACACATTTGCCGCCTCCTGCAGGTTCTATTACGAAAACTTCCCCACCGAGACTGACTACGAGCTTCAATGGGTGCTCGAGTTACTCGCCGAGCAGACTTCCAAGACCAAGGAGGCCTTGGTAATGGATCTCGAGGAACTGGAGCAGAGATTGGAATCCGGGGGCATTGGGTCCGATGATGGATACCTTGATGGACTCGGAAATCGAGGGAGTGTGGAAGGTATCCTGTCTTGAATGGATTCGGATGTATGTCCATACTACATTGTATTCACCCTTCTGTGTTTGTTCACTTTCCCATGGCTATACCAATCCGCAGTGGCTTACTCTCTTTTTTGTGACGGTTGAGTAGGAAAAGCGGAGAAAGTGGACCATTTTGTCGAAGGGGGTACCGATGCCTTGTCAACTATGTATTTATTGATTATCTGAATAATCGATAGGCCGGTACTTTGCATTTGTCTCTTCATTTTGTCAGGTCCGTCGATGCAAGTCCAGTATGCTTTGCAGGACACCACCCAACGGGAAATAAGCTACGGTACTCCCCTCGAGCTCGCTTAGAGAATAGCCTCTAGCCAGATCTATCATAATATATAATATATCAAAATTTTCCCAGAACAGAATGGCTCCCTGATTCGCTGTCCATAATTGAACCCATGCATCCACGAAATCTCTATGGGGCGAGTGCGATTTTATGACGGCCCCAGATATATTCTCCAGTCCGGTATCGCTCCACTCCATCTGTAACAGAAGTGTACTTGTAGATCGTCACTCCAGATATCCCGACCCTATCCTTTCCCCCCCTATCCCAGTGCGGATAGTGCACCTGGTTGTTTGTTTCTCCAGACCGACTCAACAATTGTGGGAAGTATAGAGGTCCGCACTGGTCTACGCTGCAATCGCGCTTATATTATGCCCAATAAATAGGGGGGCAGGGGTTGGGGTAAATTATCACCTTCATGATGAAATCCGGTGCATTGCCATCGCGTGCGCTGTCCAATTCGCATCCGTGAAATATCGCAGAGTTGTTATTTGAAGACGAGAGGATTTGCTAATATTAGCGTTCCAGATTGCCTTGGACTAGTGGCGGATATTTGGGTGAAGAGTTTCAACTCTGCGGATTCCCTGCACTTCTTGGTGATGGACGTATGGTATAAAGGCTAGTCCGGATATCCGAGCTCAAGGTGATCAAAGAAGGGAATTAGCCAATTTTAGAGTTAGAAAAATGCAGACGTTCAAATTTCATAAATCCAAGATGCTCCTAAATACTAACTCCATGAATGCAGCAGCCCCCAGCCACATCCCGACAAGCCACACCACACTCCGTAGAACATGACTAGGGGAAATCTCGAGCCCATCCGCTACGGACTAATTCCTTCTTCTTCCATCTTAAGATAGCCCCCCATGTAAACCAAGCCCCTTATAGCACTAGCACCACAAAACACCCTCAAACCACTACCACCACCACTACCATCCTCTCTCACTGCCGGAAAACCCCGCGCTTTCGGGGAAGTGGATATCCGGGGAAGTCATAATTCACATTGCGGCCCAAAGCCACCTGCGGGTAATCTCCTTGCCCCCCCGGGACAGTCCCATAGCTAACGGGACCCTTCAGCGCCTTATCCAAAGCATTCTCCAATTCCATCGTAGTCATCATACTTCCGTCGCCAATCTTATTCAATACTGTCTTCAATAACTCAGCGGTAGCCAGATGAGTATCCTCTCGGACATACACGTTCCGGCAGTAATAGAGGACAGCCACGATCGCAAGAACCTGGCCCAGGACCACGATACCGGCTGCGATGCCGACCCTACGCCATTTTACTTCCAGTGTTGTTAGGACACGTCTGGTTGCGCGGGCTTTCGGGTCCTTCGGCTTGAGCGGGAATACTAGGTTTCCGTACGCTATTGCGGCGATGGGAAGGCGGGCTACCAAGGCAGCGACGTAGAGGTTGTAGTATTCCTTTTGAGTAGCGGAACCCCCTTCGTCATACCCGTAAAAATCGAGCATTTGCACGCCGACGGAGGGAGACGTGCGGCTTTGAAGTTCCCCGAACCACCGATAAGCAATTGACGTGGTCTTACCCGCCCTAAGAGGCTCCACAGTGGCCGTCCGAGTCCTGTATTCTGTGGACAGCGATGTACTAGTTTCCGTCCAGACCGTGGTGGAGGTTGCTGCTCCAGGCTTTCGAGTACCGGTAGCAGTGCTCTTAGTCACAGAGGTTCTTGTGTATGTTTCCGGATGCTCGTGGACGACTTCTGTTGTGCTAGTGAGAACAGAGGTTGAAAATACTTTTCCAGGTTCTACCTCGTTCGAAACTGGTAAGAGAAAAAGAGAGGCTGAATTAAATAGTGGCATTGGGTGAGGGGCCTCCCCCTGCCTCTCAAAAAGGGTCGAGGTGCATTCCCAGACCGTAGCATCATATACCACATCTAGAGTATAATGTATCAGTTCAAACTATTTCTAAAAATTTGGTAATTGCCCTCTCACAAGTTATGGACGATCCATCTGACCTCCCGGTCAGCGGTGCTGCCCAAGTAACCCATTCAGAACTTCCCCCAGCCCAAGCACCTTGGTTATACAGTGTCCTCATTACTTCGGCAATATCCTCCCCGTTGCTCCCATCTTCCCAATCTTTGTTTCCAAAACCAATGTAAGCCTCATAAAACCTTCCCTCGGTGAGTAATCCATGGGGTTATGTAAAACTTACTCTTAGATGCTTGATCACTACTGTTGTAGTCTTTCCAGTACTCGCTCCCGTCAACCCGGAACATAGTACAGCTAGCAGAGGAGTGTACAGCATGGTCCGACGATACTTGGTCCGTTCCGTTGACATCATTTATATCATAAATGAATTCCACCCCGTTACCGTGTTGTTCGAGAGACGCGCCATCAACGGCGAGGGTGTATAGTGTACCCTCCGTCAAGTTCAGGAACCCAGTAATGTTAAACTCAATCTCTGGCCGTCGGGTAAGCACAGCTAAACCACCTTCAGCCAGATCCAGGTACGACCCTACACGATGGGTCAGCTAAAGTCGCTAAGAAAATTAAGTATCCCTGGGGAGAATGGGGTTCTTACGGAGCTCCTTCCCATCCACCCTAAAATCCGTAGCGTTCTTGGAGAGCAATACAGTGGAGTCCCAATCTGTGACAAGGGTAGGAGGTGTCACGATGGGGATATCCGCCAAGTTGAATGTCAACCCAAAGATTGCAACACTAAACCTTCCAGTAATATTCACGAGGAGATATATCAGGACAATGAAAGTTGTCATGGAAAATCTCCATTCCCGAAAATGTGCAAAAATAAGCGCAGCCGAGCCGCCGGGGGATGGCATTGCAAGCAGCAACTCAATCTATATCTCGACCATCAAAACCGGTCAGGGTCTTAGTTGGAAAGGGGCATCCCATACGTCCTGCATTCTATACTTTCCCCTGGCAAGCAGAGGCCATCTCAGCATAGACCCCAAATATCCTAACATAGATCCAAGGCCCAAACTCGCGAAAGCACTAAGCAGAATGGTAATAGTATTGAACCCTCGCTGCTCCCAGCGCGACAATTCACCCATCCGTGAAAAGATCAGGAGACCCATAACAAGAAGTGATAGGGAAAGAGCCGTTGTCAAGCATCTCCCTGAAAGAGAAATCATGTTCCACCAGAACTGCTCCCGGCTATCGAATGATATCGGGAGCGCGGCCGGCTTTTCCGTCTTTGATATCAATGGATCATCCGCGTCGTCGTATGACGGAGGATGGTGGGAGTCGGGTCGCGACGACGACATTTTGAAGAGGAAGGTTTGCACGATGGAAGAAGCTGTTGAGTCCGTCAGAGTTCTAGGAATAAAGGAGGAGGAGTTTTGAACATCCGGAGCATGAAAATTTCAGAGGCCATGTATCGAATGTCGCTGCCGGTCAATAAGCCCCCTTACCGACAACCTTGTCGACGAGCGGGGTACTTGTACCAATGCTATCTGGCCTCGCCAAATGCTGTTATTTCTTTTTTTTTTTTTCCGCAGGCGGGGGGAGCCCGGGGCCAGGAGCGACCCACGGGATTACCGGTTGGAGAGGGCACTCTGTAGAAAATGCCTATCTCTGGTAAGGCAGGCTCCAGACGCATCTATCGGTACTTGAGCATCGCACCCCAACACAACCTCGCCCGTGATCACAACTGGCGGAGTTGATCTGCGAACCGCTTAATTTCCCTCGCCCATGCATCGGAACAAAAGTGCCTTCCGGTGTGGCAAAATGTCACGCCCTCGCCGGATCCTTTGGTTGAGCAAAATGGTGAGATAAACACACCCGGCCCGTTTAGGAATAGCGGTGCTAACGCGGCGGTTTGTTTGGGGCTGGACCCTGAAAAGAGTAAAAGCGCAAGCTGCACCCGCACTGACCCAACAGCCAAGTAACACACCTTCCAAAATAGGGTTCCGTGCATAACCATACCCTACCCGCCGAGCCAGGCCCAAGCGACTCGGCACAAATTGTTCGTTGGGACTACCGGTAACTTACGAGTACGGTAAAAGCGCACTGTGCCTATATTATATAATACTAGTACTTGTACAGTACCAGTACCGCCCTCGTATCAGACCATTGGGGGGGTACAAGTATTGTACCGGCACTTGCACTGTACGGTCAAACCTCGCCACACAAGGAAATCGGTAATACGGATACCTCGCCGTCCCGCCTAAAATTCTGCGAATTCAAAAAAATTTCACACCGAAAACCGACCCGTTGTCCCGGACTGCTCTCTCAGGGTCTTTGTCTTCCGGGATAGCTAGGTGCGACTGTACCCGTACTTGGAGATATTTGCAAATACAACCAAATATCCCGCCAATGTGATGCAATACCGTATCTGGAGATCTCTTTGGCTGTGCGGTACTGCGCCTCATCACATTTAGCCGGCCCTCAAACGCACTTCCCGGTATGTACTCGAGTACATGCACCGGCTCTGCACAAAAGAACCAGTCAAGCCACAGATTCTCCACCACTAAGTCCACAAGCCACTGTTCGGATACCCCGTAAGCGCCCAGGCATCCTGTAGCAAGGCTACGGGGACGAGTCGAGAGGGAAGGGGAGAAAAATCATCTTCCATCCCACACCACCGCACCCCTGTAAATCGCCCGTCAAACAATCCGCATCCGCCAAATTTGGGTTGACACGGCTCGGCCGGGAAATATCTCCCCCCGCCGCGCCGCACTAGCACAGCACAGTTCTCCTTCGCCTCCATTCCCAACGACCTGAACAGCAACAGATCGAACAAAGTAAAGACTTCTCAAGCGTATCAAGAGCCCGGGGAGGATATAAGGATATTTTCAAGCTGGTAAAGCATCGTGCTGCTCTGCCTTCCAAGTCGGATACCGAAAACCGGTAGCAATGGGGGATAGGGGGTCTATTAAATGACGGGGTAAATGTGCAACACTTCGTGCCGATAATTAGACCTGATACACCTCATCCCATTAAAACTCGCCAGAGGAGCACACACCCCATTTTGCCCATCCCCCTGTCCGACCAATTATTCTTAGTAGTAATAGCACGCGACCTCGAAATATAGCTCCAACCTCAGGCAACGAGGGCTAACTTCCTTCAGGCGCAACGAGTTGCAACATAAGTTAACCGCTACCATACCCCAGAAATGCACTGCAGGAAAAAGCTTTGGGAACCGGCCTCAATGAACGCTGACGCTACTATCAGTTCCGCTGAGCCAGGAAATATTAATCACTTTCACGCACCCCCGAGAGCAATGCCTCCACACGCAAATTCCTGTAACCCATGAAGGAGACCAATCCTCTCGAGGTATGATACTTGTAGTTTCAAACAGGTACACCCAATGCAGCTCACTAGACGGTGTTATCTCCCGATACTTCCTAACCCCCAGAACAGTATCTCCCGGAGCAGAGGCAAATCTGTACGACATAATACTTAGGGTAGTACTGTAAGCTAGACTACGGGCAAACCATCCCATAGCAATCCTGCTCTCAGGGCCCCTAGGGTGATCCCCTGTCGCGATAAGTATATCATAGTATGCCTCTACATTCCGATACCTGCTAGCAAGAGGGCCTCATACCGGGCTGCTTTCATATCGGGGGCCATGCCCTACGGTAAGCAAAGTTTTTTGTTGGTTGGCAATAGATACGGGAAAAAATGGCTACTCGTGCCAAGGTTGTGGCTGGCCGCCACAACCCCCGCACGTTCGCAAGCTCACAACTGGGGGCACTCTAAAGAGTGCCTGACAGCTCAACGGTACTTTATGGCTCAACGGTACTTTGTGGCTCACCACAGCAACTTTGTGGCTCAATGGCACTTTGTGGCTCAACAGCACTTTGTTGCTCAACAGTGCTTTGTGGCTCAACAGTGCTTTGTGGCTTGGTACAACTTTGTAAATTAAGAGTAGTTTGCTGCATATAAACAGTTTGTAAATAATTCAAATACTTTCGCTTCATCAACAATTCAGCTCAGAAATAACAAATCATGCCACCAGCTCCAGCCTTTATTCTACCAAGCCAATGAGTCGAACCTTATGGAGATATCGAGATACGAATCCAGGCTGCCATTGCCTTTCTTTAAAGCAGTGAAAACCAGTATCCCAATCTGGCTGCCATTGCCCGTCAGTACGAAATACCAGTTCGCCATCTTTGAGCACGTTTACAAGGTCAACAATCACGTCAAGATCGGCCTGGAACAAACCATAAACTATCACAAGATCAGGAGCTCGCTGTCTGCCAGTATCTAGACCGTTTGGATAGAGTCGGTACAAGCACTCCCTTGCAAATAGTTACAAGCTGAGCAAATGCAATTCTCCAATATACACATGAAGGTCCTGGGCCAGCTCCTATTGTCAGTAACCAATGGGCACCACGTTTCCTCGATCGCTATCCTGAGTACTTTATTCGGAAGCAACAAACAATCGATACTGACCGCAAAAATATCCATCAACCCGAGAACATCCGAACCTGGTTTGAAAAATACCTTACAGTCTGTCAATCACACAATATTCAACCAGCAGACAGGTACAACTTTGATGAAACAGGCTTTCGGATTGGTGTTGGGCATGATCAATGGATCATTACACGTGATCCTAACCAGCAGGCATAGTTGGCTAGTTCTATGAATCGTGAACTTGTGACAGTTCGCGAAACCATTAGCAGTGATGGAGCTGTTTTGCCTCCGATGATTATTGTGCCAGGTGTTATTCACAAGGAGCCCTGGTATACTACTACGAGTATACCAGATGATTACCTTGTTGGCACATCAGAAACTGGCTATACCAATGATATGTTGACTTTAAACTGGCTTAGCCATTTTGAACAATTCTCTTCGAAGCAGCAAGTAGGAAGCTTCTGACTGTTACTTCTTGACAGCTTTGGCTCCCATTGCACGAAACTATTTCTTGACTATTGTGATGAGCATAAGATAATTGTTTTCTGCCTTCCTGCTCATTCCAGCCACCTTCTGCAACCATTAGATGTGGTAGTGTTTCAACCATATAAACATTATCATGCAGAGGCAATGGAGGCTGCCACTCGGATAGGATGCGATGAGTTTGACAAATGTGAATTTCTCGACCAAATCGATTCAATCCATCAACAAACATTTAAGGGGTCAACTATCCGATCAGCATTCAAGGCTACAGGACTAATTCCGTATAATCCTAATATAGTCCTTTCGAAACTTCGTGAGGCAGTTCCTGTTATTGATAAACCAGCAATGCCTCTGCGTGAATGGCCAACTAGCATTCCCACTACAATTCCACACCTCAAGTCATGAGGTGATGATTTACTGTTTGCTGCAAAAGATATGCCATTAGAGTTCCAACAGGAGCTCAAGCTTGTGCTACAAGGTGGACTCGCTCTTGCCCAATCAGGTGCCCTGGCAATGGAGCACTTGGAAAATACTCGGGCAGCAGAAGAAGCACGGAATGCAAGATGCAGAGCACAAAGCCGGAGGCAGATACAAAGTGGAGGTGTATTGTGTGCATCTCAAGCATGCCAAATGGTAAAGAAAAGAGAAGATGCAGAGGTAGAAAAAGCAGAGAAGCAATTGTGGAGGGCACAAAGTGCTCAAAAAAGGGTGCAGCGAGCTCAACGTAAACCATTCCTTAATGAAATAAAAGTAAAGGGAAAAGAAAGACGTACAGCTCAAGCCTATAAAAAAAAATATCTAGGCTAATAGTAATGGGAATTAAGCAACAAGCAAGGTTGCGGAAATTGATGTGAAATCACATACTGTATTCTTTAAACTTCAAAGGTTATAATCTGATACTAGTGGTATGGTGATAGGCTTGTGTGTAAGGTTGTATTAGACTGGAAAGTTGTATTGGTATATTAAAAGGTTATCTTAATATACATAATTGTGCAGAGCCACAAAGTGCATTGAGCCACAAAGTGCTGTTGAGCCACAAAGTTGCTGTGGTGAGCCACAAAGTACCGTTGAGCCATAAAGTACCATTGAGCTGTCAGGCACTCTTTAGAGTGCCCCCGGTTGTGAGCTTGCGAACGCGCGGGGGTTGTGGCGGCCAGCCACAACCTTGGCACGAGTACCATACAGAGTATAAAATCCGGTGAGGACCAATACGGTAGGATAGAAGGAACTAGTAGATGGTGGAATACGCAGAGTATCACAAATATAAAGAGAAAATAAATTTTGGGGCAATCCTTGGGGTGACGACCAGATTTGTAAACAGCGCCGTGGTGCTACCATACCAGAAGGTTCCGCTCCGGAACTCCGAGTTGTATTAAAAATATGTGGTCAGAAACTTCGCTATCTCGTTCGGCTTCTTCCTCGCCACCCAACAACTAACTAAAGAGCAAATAAAGGAGTACCGGTACTCATGAAATCTAATAAATGCATCCTGATCCATCCACCAATAACCACGTTTGCCTCCATGCCCTCACGCGCGTCCCCCTCTCCGGATGCTTTGTGATAGCAAAGGAAAAACATGTCTGAAAAGACCACCCCGTAAATTACTAAGGGGCTGTTTGGAAGACAGTGCGTTGAGATAACCTGTATGTTACACACACCCTCTCCTGACAAGTGGTGTTACTAGAATATGTTTAAAGGTGTTAAGCGTGTTTAAATGTGATATTAAGCAAAATTCTGGGCAGGATTACCGGCGTAACACGTGTGTAGAACCTACGGCCATCTCAACACGCGGTGTGCCGAACACCCCCTAAAGCTCCAGAATAATTCACACTCCCGCAACTTCTAGAACCATCCACAACATGCTACCATCTCTCACATCAAGTAATAAGAAAAATATGTTCCTATCTGCTGCCTCTACAGATAGAACATTGTCCAATCACCAGCGGGTCAACGATCAAGGCGAGGCTCCGGGATGACAGAACAAACCTCTAGTACCGCACCCACCCTGAGACAAGTAGTACGATCTCGATCTGCCACCTGTACTCGCCAGGGAGAAGCCAGACGTGAAGACCAACGCCAACTCCAATCAAAATATTTATAGCTCCGCATCTACTATTGGTGAACGTGGCTGTCCTAGGCCTCTACTTTAAGTCCATTTCCAGTCTACCGTCTAGATAACATGTTTCCTATCCATGGTTTCACCCGAGCAGGGTCTTCACCCTTTGTACCGATGACCCAAGTCCAATTAACCGATCCCGGATTCATTCTATTCTTTCCCTATCACCAGTTGTGTGTGTGCATATACACTCCCAGCGCGTGTAACAGAACCTACCTCCATGTTATTCCTCCGACATTTAAAAATGAGTAATTAGTCATGAGTAAATAATAACCCAGAATTCGAATTTCCAAAGCCTATTGCCGAGACAGGTTGAGTCAGCTAACCGAAAAAGCCAGCTAATAAACGAAACCCTAATTGGTACACCTCTATGACACTCATTGAATCATCACCCCCCACGTCAGTAACCAAAGAGCACCGTAAAATCTCGTGAAATCCACCACCTCCGGCCGACCATCATCCCACTTCGTGTATAGTTTGGCAAGTGAACGGGATTGCGAATACCAGTTGGCGGGATCCAACACGCCTAGCCGGCTGATTTTTCATCTTTTATCAAGAAAACGCTAATCCTTCCTGGGCTGACGGGGATATGGATTTGACTAGATTTTACGGCACCGGGCGAGGAGAGGTGCTATTGTGGACCAGCTCGCCAGAAAATCTACTTACTTAAGGCTCTGTTTGGCGGGAACGGAACAGTTCGTGGCCGTTGCGTTTCAAAACGGACCACTTGCGTTTTGTAACAGTCGACTCCGTACATTTCAGAACGGAACGGTCGTATCCAAACAGGCCCTTATGATACCTTGAGCTGTAGGAAGCCCGTACTGATTTCCCCTGAAATCTCTCGGGTTAGGACCAAAAGCTACAGGAATTATCTCAAAAAAAAAAAAAAAAAAAAAGAAACCCTACCCCCATAAGGCAAATCATGAGCAAAGGCACCCCTCGTCATACATAATCACTCGATTCTCTGATTACTCAGCACTAGATGTTCATTTCAAGCCCCTAGATGCTCGGAAGAAAAAAAAAAAGAAGCAATAACACAGTCATCTCCTACATTCTTGGAATTGGATGTCTCGCGTTAATATGAACTGAGGTAGGAGCGACGACCCCCCCAAGTGAAGAAGCCGTAAGTACTGATCTATTCCCAGAGTTCCAACCTAGAATTCGGCGGCCTTTCATCCCCCCATTGGCGGTGAGATCAAGCCCTAAATCCCCTGCGGCGGATCCCCACAGCCGCCAATCAGGGTGCCAACTATCATCTCAAATTCCCCGCGCCGGCACAGACTTGTTCTACCGCCCTCGCTCTCTCTCCCGACTCCTCTTCTATCCTCACACAACCACCAATATTTTCCCTCCCTCCCTCTTCAACCACAAGCTCCCGAAAACAAGCATGACCCAGAAGCCGGAAGAGGAATCAACCTGGGAACCTGCGCCAATCGAAAAAGCCGCGCAAGAGGGGAGGATTGGGCAAGATGATCCTGCACATCTCCCGGCTTATAAGCCAAAAAGTGAACCCGCTGGGCCCACTACTAGTGCAGCGGTTGAGATGCGAGAGTTCATCGTGATTTCCAGTCCTGAACCCACTCCACCCCAGAAGATCAAAGGACCGGAAGCGAAGTCTTCTGTGCATCCCAGCAGGCCAAGTAAGAGGAAGGCTGTCGTTTTGGACAGCTCAGAAGAAGAAAGCGTCACCGCAAACTCTTTGGCAATTCCCTTCAAGTTACATACAAAGAAGTCTACTACCCCCGGGTCTCAAGTAGATAAGACAATCCAGTCCCCCAAAGTCTCGCGCAAGAAGTCTCGCCCTTCTTTGACCTCCCGCGCCCAGATCCCCTCAAACAGCGCCACTCCCCATCTAAGCCGACACGACAAACACGAAATGATTGTGCAATCGAAGCCCGTTCTCAATCCTTTCCGCTCAGTCAATGATAAATATAGCTCTCATGCCCTTTCCGACAAAAAGGTCAGTACCCCTAACATGAATTTTTTTTTCTTTCGGAGTTCTTACTCATCTCCAGTTTACCAGGCCAAAAAAAAATCATCCAATTCTTCCAAAAAAAATCGCAGAAGACGCCAGAGGCAGAAGGCCAATGCCAGGGCGGAAAACACTCAATCCCTTAAGACCTCTACGGTCAAAAAGCGTGCGGGGAAAACGGTGCTCGGAGATGAGGATTCTGGTATCCCCCTTAAAGACAGGCGAATGGAACAAAATTCTATTCCCATAGTTATCAACGGCGAAACCTTCCTCCCTCCCAGAATGGGAGAAGGCAGTAAGTTCCCGAGATTCATGCGCAAGTTCTTTTCATACACACTCTCCCCCCCTATGCCCCTCTCCCCCGCACGCCACTAACGATCAAAAACAGGCGCACGCAGACCCACCAAGGAAGAGTTGAGGAAGGAAGCCTTAGACAAATTCGGGACGAGACTGAACCTCGCAAAGTCTGACTTCCTGGCGCTCTGTCGCTCCCGTGGCGAATACCCCACCCGCAAAGAGCTCGACTTGCGCGCTTTCCCAAAAGACTTCCAGTTCGAGCCATCCAATGAAACCCCACCTATCCCATCTTCCCCGGAGGAGGACAAAAACGTTATGATCCGAGCACTGGAGGAAGACAGATCTCTCGGCGAGAATCGGGTCCCGGGACCTGCCGACATCGAGAATGTGCGCAGGAGACACTCCCGGAGGAAGAAGTTTGAAAAAGGTTGTCTGGCCATTTTAAAGGAAGAGCCCAATATCGTCAAGGGAGAGAATCATTAGTTCCAATTTCCCCTCCAACACTGCTGGAGCTTTTTTTTTTGTCTTGTTTTTTTCCCTTTTCTTCCTTGCGGTAGCTGCTGCCGTCAATGTCTTGTTGGGGTATGATACTCTGTTTAAGTCTTGTTTTTTTGTTTTTACCCCCTCCTACTTCTGCGCCCCATATTCCCAAAGCTCACATTGGCATCTAATCCCACTTGTCTCTCTTCCTTTTTTTTTTTTCCTCTGACCCCGTTCAGTTCCAAAAAAAATCTATGAATTATCAGGATCCGGGATGTTAGATTAGCCCATGTTATCTATACTTCTCTAGCCGCTAGATAACCACTAACCGTGTTTACCCTAATCCCCCGTTCCAGCGACTTTACGTGATTTTTGAAATACGCAAAAACCGTCATAATAGAGACAAAATCACCTGATAGCTTGATATAAACTCGGGAGCAAAGACGAGAAGATAACCCGGGCTAACGGCGCAACAGAAGAAATCAATCTCTCTCACATTCCACTAGCAAAGTAATTCCCGCCGCTATTTATCATGCTACAAAGGCCCAGAAATCAATTAAACTGATTTTGAAACAGCTCAACACTTCACTAAAAAGAAACTAGGTATGATACAAAAAGTTTTGGCCGGGTGAGTAAATCCTGATATCCCAATACCCACGAGAAAGCCATCTTCTCCCACATCCTTCAAAGAGATAATGATACAGAGGAGCGACCAAGACAGAAATCAACCTCCTTCCCGTCCCTACTACCCTCTCCCCCCCAAATCAAACTACCATACAAGGCGCGTACGCCACCTCCCACCTCACTCATCATCTCATGAAATTTCTCACGTACAATCTCCATATCATCAATCAGCCTTCCAACCTCCTCAGCAACTTCATCCTATCCGAGAATTACCGTCCCCCCGTCACCCCTATCAGGGGACAGTAAGAACCGGCAAACGGTTCTGACCTGTCTTTCTCGCACCGCGCTGCAGATCATGTGCGGGGCGCCTACACGATTCAGTATCTCAGGGGTTCTTGTATGCCGCTAACCAGGGAGGCGAATGCTGATAAGGCCTTCTGGGGGGAATATTGCGCGAGGCATGTATGATACTCGCAGAACTAGTATTATACTTGGCATAGACCTGTCTTTTCCTGTCGCCCTTATCTTTGTTCATGAGGGGTCACTCGTAGATGCAACTGTACCGCGCTACTGATATCACGATTGTATCGCACTGCTCATGACGCCTGAACCAAACCAAAAGTCTAACACAATGCCCTTAGAGGCAACCGCCAGTATTATCACGCTGGTCCTAGGCCACGCCGTCTGCCGCTATCCTAGCGGCCCGAATCCCTTTTGTTTTTTTTCTCTCTACTTGCGTAACCAATCACCTAATCCCCAACGAGAACAGTATCCTACTCAGCATTTTTCCTATTGCTGATATTCCCGTTTGCGCTATTCTTTCGAACGTGTGAAGATCTCTTCTTTGGAAAAATTGACTCTCCTCGTCTGTAATTTATACCTTCTCCCGTTTATCTCCCCCCACCCCGAAAAGTTCATACTTTCGTCTAAAGTACTAGGACAAAAATATTGAGCGATATGATACCAAACCCGAGCCCTCCCTACTTACTAAGCCATCCTTCCTTCCCATCCTCAACCAATCCGGGGGGATTCCGATTTGGGCAAAAGAAACAAACGAACTGGGAAACAGGTAACCGGCTATTAAGTTTGAGAGCAGTTATTGGCAAAGATTGAATTGAAGGTTTACGTAATCGAGAACAAAGTGGGAATCTAGGGATAGAGCAAAGGTGGCCGTCATATATGATGTGTTTTGCATGGCGCCCCCGTGAAATGTCCCAAGCCAATTCCAAAGCATACACCATAAAATGAAAACATGACAAATTATTAACGCGGGCTTTATTCCCCCCCCTCTTAATACAGAGACATTATAGTTGTTCTCACGGTTCTTATAGCTTCTTGAAATTTCTGCTCTCTCACCCTGACAATGCCGATCCACGAGCTGCCGCAAAGCGCTGTTTCCATCGCACGATAAACAGCCAAGAGCCCGGGTTCTACGATACTATGATACCACATCTATCCCTAGCAGATAATTTCTCCAAAGTTGCGAATTTCCCGTTATCCCTTATGATACTCCAGTCCATTTTGCCCATTCTCCCATTCTCCTCCCTTTTTTTTTTTTTTTGTTCCCTCCCCCCCCCCCAACTTTACGAATATAGAGCTAAAACAAGATAACACGTAACGCTGGGGCTACAACTTAATGGTACATTATGGTCTGGACAAATACGGAGCCGTGAGGTTCCATGTCCACCAGCGCAGCAACGAGTAGTAAAACCATCACGGAGGATTATCTTGGGTGGGGAGATCGTGAGATAGCAACCGCGCCCCCGGCCCCTCTATCAGCACCACACGAGGACTCACCGATTATCGGATGAGATAGCTCCGACAAATTTTATCATTGGCATTGTGTCTAGGAGCACTGCATGCCCTTCACTCCGCCAGGGCACTGGCAACATGATTGGGCTGGGAATCGATCGGTTCAGCCGTCTGTGGCTTCGGTGACCGTCGAGAATGAACGGGAATTTCTTATGTACGGCACGGATCTCCAAGCATCGCCGTGAAGTATCGATATTTCTATGGCTTGAATTTGCGAGGGAAAAACAGAGTGCCCTGAAAATGAAACTAGGGGCGAGCGATATTTAGTTGGGTGGCAGCCGATGTGCATAGACGTCATTTAGCAGAAGTGAGTGGCAGGGGAGATGGGATAAACGGATGCATGAATATTCAAAGGTAAGCCATCATGGGGCCTCCGGAAAGGTTGGAGAATTGTCATCGCAAACCAGGTCGCAGCCAGCCCCATACCACGCAATCCACACATCCTACCAAACTGGATATAATTTCAAACCACGCACGAAATACACGTTCAACCATAACCCCCCCCCCTTCAACAATCCACGCATCCTTTCTCCTCCCTCAAGATATCTATGTATCCATTCAAGGCCTCAAGTCCATCCATCTAAAAGCTCGAAATCTTTCTAATTGCCCTCCTAGCCCCCTCTCCAGTAACCCGAATCAACCCCTCCGTCTCCAGAGACCTACAAGCATCCGCGAATTCTCCCGAGGGAATGGTGATACCAGTGCTCTGCTCCTGCAAGCGCTTAAGCACATCATTGTACCTAGCCCCGCCAGCGCCCCTCGCCATCTCATCGAGGAGGCCGATGATCGCGTTCTTCATGTCACCCTTCCTGCGCCTCTCCGAGTTGCTAATACCACCCAGAAGATCCATGTCTATCCTACCGGTAACGGGGTCGGTAGCGGACTCCTTAATGGCAGAACGGATGAGGCGGACGGCTTCATGGACGTCATCGACTGTTACTTCCTCACTTAGGCGCATCTTGGCGTGCGCTTCTGAGAGGCGGATCATGGACTCGAGTTGACGGGTTGTGGCGGTGATACGGCGCTCCGCTGCACGGACGTCTTCGCCAAGCTTGCGGAGGTCGACGTACGCTTTCACGAGCTCTTCCCCGGCCTCTTCCGTAAGTTTAGGGTGCACGTTTTGACGGGCATAGGAGATGTAGGCTGTGAGTTGCTCGATAGGCTAAATCATCCACATTAGCCCTTGTTTAGAAAGATTAAGTTAGTGGGGCGAGTATACGCACAATGATTTCAAGATTGCCCGAGGCATTCTCGGGGTTATCCTCCAGGTACATGCCCAACATGTGTCTCGCCAATCTGCGATCATGAGCCTCGTCAACCCTATCGAGTACCAAATAAACTAGGTCAAATCTGGAAAGCAACGTAGGTGGCAAATCAATGTTTGCAGGAACCGGTAAGTTCGGATTGTACTTGGACCCAATGGGATTTGCGGATGCCAACAAACTTGTTCTGGCGTTCAGTGTAGTGATAATACCAGCTTTGGCAATAGAGACTGTCTGCTGTTCCATTACTTCATGAAGAACTGAGCGTGTAGCCTCGTTCATTTTATCAAACTCATCGATACAGCAGACTCCTCCATCAGACAATACCAATGCTCCAGATTCAAGGACCAATTGACGAGTCTCCGGATCGCGAGTAACGTATGCTGTCAAACCAACCGCAGAAGAACCCTTCCCTGAAGTGTAGACACCTCTGGGGGCAATCTTGTGAACGTACTGCAGCAACTGAGATTTTGAGGTAGAAGGATCACCGCAAAGTAGAATGTTAATATCGCCCCTATATCTTGGCGCACCACCCTTTTCAAATGTTTTGTTCGTTCCTCCAAATAGTTGAAGCAGAACTCCCTTCTTCACATCCTCCATTTCCCAGATACTAGGCGCCAATGATCGAGAAAGTAGCTCGTAGACATCGTAGCGGGCAGCGATAGCCTTAATCTTTCCCACTTCCTCATCAGTCAACTTTCTGACTTCGTCAATGTCACTAGCAACCTGTCCAGCCAATTCCTCTTCAAGTGTAGACGTATCTTGACCCATCCTGCGTTTATCTACTTTCTGGATATGAAGGACGTCAACATAAGTCTTGAAAAGGCTCTTGATAGATCTCTGCCTTGGATTGACGCGGACCGGAACAGATCTAAAAATACCGGTGACTTCGACACGGTCACCAGCTTTCGCTACATCACAAAGTTCATCATAGCAACAAAGTGAGACTGAGTGGGGTGTTTGACCATCAGGAACGGAATCGGGGGTCTCTTGAAGTTTGATGACCTGCTTATCGGAAAAGTCGGAACGGTTATGGACAATTTGCATGGAATTTGGTGTCTTGCAAACTTCACGGGGGCACAAGGTAGGCTCAGCGATTTTTCCCCTATCAATCTCCACGGTGACGGTATGGCCACAGACATGACAGCGGAAGAAAGCTAGAGGAACAATTAGAGCCTTCCACGAAAAGGGGGCTGACTAGCTTACCCTTATTCATATCCGGGATAATTGAAGTCACACGAATGACAAGCCCTTTAACGCTGATAACCTTATCGATATCTAGTCAACCACCTTTAGCCACCTCTAGTTACCCATTTCCCATCGGAAGCTTACCAGCAGGGTTGAGATCCCTCATGTTGACAGTCTTCCCCAAATTAAACGGTCTGGCCTTATAAATCCTCTCCAGACAAGCTTCGTATTCTGCTTCATCAGCGCCTGCTTCCTCTAGCATTTCCAACATCGTATCCTTAACACAAGTATCCATAATAGGAATTATTTCTTGTGGGTACGCATGCAATTGGTGATAGAACCGCTTAGTGGGAGGGAAACTCTTCAAATTCTGAACATCCAGATTCAAGTTTGAAGTTCCCAACTCTCGAAGCTGCTTCAGCATTTCCACATAAACCAACTCATCACCTTCTCCGGGAGCAACAAACTCGCCATCCATACGCATCCTATACCGCCGCTTGAACTCGCGGAGAAATTTGTTGAATGCTTGGGTGGACTCCTCGACAGAGACGTTGGTGCCCCAGATAAGACGGCGAGGCCCGTCCGGTAAGTCAGATGTCGGTCCGCCGCTATAGGTCGCTGCATCAGATAGTGGATGAACTGCATCACCGCCGCCAGCTCCTGAGCGGATAGGCATGCCTTGCTCGTCCACATAGAGGAGCCTACGGCGAGTAGGGGTCGCATTGACATCGGAGAATTGAAGATCTCCACGGCGAGAGCGTAGCGGGGTGCTCCCCTCAATTTCTCCGCCGTGTCTGGACACAGTTAGCAGGAACAAACAGAACCTCCCCCGGTGAACCCCCACCTGGATCTCAATACACTGGCACTAGACATTGGGAGCCCCGATGATCTCGGAGTTCTTCCACCCCTGGATGGTGAAGTGCTAGCATATCGAAGGGGAGAAGAGACTAACTCATCTCCTCATCAGCATCCTACTTTGATTATTAGCCTGGGGGAATCCATTGCAAACCTCCAAAAGGATCCGAATCCATTGCCCTTCCCCTCATAGCACCCGAGATGCCCGAAACTGGCAATGTCTGACTGGCCTGTGGAGTCGGCGAGCTCATGCGGATGGGATCCGAGGATACGGCCGGCGAAGAGCCACCAAACAGCGGGGATGTCCCGATTTTTGACCCAGCAGGAGGCGGTGCGAGTGGAGTGTTGGCCCCCTTTCGTGGGGAACGGCGGGCGCGGGGAGTCGACTGTTGAGATGATTGCCGCGCAGAGCGGCGTTTCGTGGGGGAAGACATATTGCTAGGAGGGCTTCGATGATGATGATGATGATGATGGCGATGAAAATTAGACCGAAGCTCTATTCTTAATGGGGCCCCTGTTTTAGTGGATGTAAACAAGACAATGTATTGGTGGGGAAACCGTACAACAGGAAGGGAATTTTAGTCCGTGTGGTCTGCGTTGGCGCGTCTCCTTTCTACGCGTCTGGGGCCCCAACCTAAAGTGGACTACCTTATTCCCTAGTTAGGCGCATAATTTAGCACGCTCATTCTACGAGTGAGCCGCAATGAACATGTCACACCGAACCATTGTATCATTAGGATAGCCGCAGCGCAGGGGATAAGGTTTTTAATTCTGATTCTTAAGTATGACACCACTGAACCTACGAAAACTAAAGAAAGTTTATGATACAACGACATTCGAGCTCACATAGTATATAATGAATGATGCTTCCGAGACCCAACTCAACCCCAAACTAATGAGACCACCCAGATCCAAGCGAGAAGCGAAGCTTTAGACAGCAACGCCCGAAGCCTTCGTGCCCTCCCTAACCAAGTAACTCAAAAGGTCGACCTTCGTGACAACATGCTTCACCTGAAGCCCCCCGTCCTTCAATCTCTCAGTGACAATTCCCGCAGAATTGTGTTCGAAGAAACGGCTTAAAGCACTCAAGGGAGTGTCCAGGGTAATCTCTTCAAACTTTCTCTTCCCGACCTTCTTCCCACCAGTGGAATTCGAATGGGGAGTGATGCCGTTGTCCCCAGCTGCGGGCATTGCGGTATCCTTACAAGTAGGCTTGACGGAACCGAGCTCATTCGGATCGCTAGGAATTTCCTTCAATTTGGTGAAGTCGAACATGAGCCCGCGAACAGGACTCTTTCCGGTAGCGCGGCCTCTGGATATGTAACTCAAAATATTTCCCAGCGTGACCAAACCAACCAATTGCCCGCTCTTGGATAGGACAGGAAGCTGATCAAAACCCCTCTCAGTCATGATGTCGATGGCACTCTCAGCGGTATCGTGTGCCTTGACTGTGATAACTGGCTTGGGTTTGAGATCTCGGATTCTAGCACCTTGCCATTGGGTGGTCTCAGGAGCGCGGTTAACCTCTTTGGTTGGAATGAAATCATTGTTCTCCATCCAAGTGTCATCAACAAACTTGCTCAAATAATTCCGGACAGAGTCCGGTAAAATCACAACGATTGTCTTTCCTTCCTGGTTGAGTTCAGGATGAGATTTGAGTCCCTCAACAAGAGCTGATAAGGCCGAGCCGGAGGAGCCGCCGCAGAGCAGACCCTCATCTTTGATCAGGCGACGGGCGAAAAGAAAAGAGTCACGATCAGCCGTTTTGACCCAGGTGTCCACAATCTTCTGATCCAGAACATCGGGGACAAAGTCGTAGCCAATGCCCTCAACCTTGTAACCTGCGTTTGAGTCGTTGAGCTCGGCTGGGAGGGCGAGAATAGAACCGATAGGGTCGGCACAGATAACAGTGACCTCCGGGTTATGCTTTCTCAGCCCTCTAGCGATACCAGTAACCGTGCCCCCAGTACCGGCACCCGCCACAATAGCATCCACCTTTCCACCGGCTTGTCTCCAAATCTCTTCCGCCGTTCCAAGTTCGTGAGCAAGGGGATTGTTGACATTGCCGTACTGGTCCAGGATGATGGAATTTGGTATCTCCTTCTCAAGTCTACTAGCAACACCGATATGGCTCTCGGGGGAATCAAAAGCTGCTTCCGTAGGCGTGCGAACAATCTCAGCACCGAGAGCTCTCAGAACGGCAACTTTCTCGGTCGACATTTTCTCGGGAAGCGTAATGATTGTCCTATAGCCCTTCACAGCACCAACCAAAGCCAAACCGATACCTCTACAGATAGGACGGTTATATTAGCCAGTGGGTTATCATGGGCTAATGGGAGACGTACGTGTTTCCAGAGGTGGGCTCAATCAAAGTATCGCCCGGTTTGATTTTCCCTTCACGTTCGGCCTCCTCGATCATGCGCTTTGCGATGCGGTCCTTAACGGAACCACCGGCGTTGAAGAATTCGCATTTCGCTAAAACTTGCGCATGAATTCCCAAGGATTGGGGGATGCGATTTAGGCGAACGAGAGGGGTATCCCCGATATGGTCAACGATAGTATTGAGAATGGCGTTTTCTGGAGCAGTCGCAGGCATCTCGGCAACGTCAAAAGAAAGCGGTGGTCTGTCTGAGGGGCCCTAGTTCAACGATATGTGAAGGAGCAGCAATGAGCTGGGAACTCGGTGTGGGCAGGGCGGGGAGCGGGGTTACTTACAGTAGAGGAAAATTTATATTTATTTTTTATGATGCAATCTGATGCCGGTGTGATTCGGTGAAGATGTTTGGTAAGTGATGGAGGTCTAGAATAGTGGAATGCCGGAGGTAGCCGATATCCTCACTTTGTCCTGATGTTTTGGAGGAAAAAGGTTGCGGTGGTGCAATGCCTGTACCGTAAGTGGCCAATAGGACTCTGTCACAATGCTTTGATACGGATATAGTACTGTATTCGGGGGTGTTCTGATAGGATACGGTACGATACAGTACAGTACAGCAATGTCATGTGGGATAACATGGGGAGGGGGGTCAGCCAACAGGGTGGCTCGCTGAACATACTCGTATCATACTGTGTTGGACCGAACAGGATGACAGTTCGCCAAGACGGCTCAGCCCGTAGCGAATTCTCATTTAGCCACACTGTTCGGTGCCTCCCATGCTAGGTATCACACGCCAACCCTTCAGCCACAAAGGTATCCGCGCCCAAACCCCGCCCCAGCCCCTTTCTCTTTGCTCCCTAGCTGCCGAGTGTTAGACATCCTACTCGTACTGTACCCGCCCACCTTCTCTCATTCCGAGCCTCTATTCCCGCCACGAAACTCCTCTTGTCACCATAATATCGCTATGAAGAAGAAGACGCTGCTGCTATGCTTTATCCATGGCTTTAAAGTGAGAATAAACATTGCATCGACATATCCTTCTCGTTCCCGGGCTAACTGATCGTATCGCCAGGGTGATGATGATACGTTCGATAGGTTCCCGTTTGTAAGCTCCACCTCTCTCCCTCGATGTTCTCCTGAACCCATGCGAACATATGTTGATCTCGGCTGTTCCACTAGGACCTTAAGGCTCTCGTTGGCCATGCGCTCCCACAATTGAATATCGAGTCGGTCGTCTATCCCCGTTACGAGACCCGAGGTGATCTTACGGCCTGTGTAGCTAATTTCCGTGAATGGCAAGTTATAGTGGCAGCTCCTTACAAGCCCGCCAATCCTAACATTTGTTTCCCAGGCTACAAACCCGCGTGATAGATCTTGAAGTTACCGCCGGTACACAGTCCCCGACCGTCGACCCCTCAGTTCGAACGGTCCTAGTCACGCATTCGATGGGCGGTATTATCGCAGCCAACACTTTACTCTCGATTCTTGATGACCAAGTTGTGAAATCCGACGGCAACCATCCAGAGAAATTTATGTTCCCCTACATTCAGGGAATTCTCGCCTTCGATACCCCCTACCTCGGATTATCCCCCGCAGTTTTTGCCCATGGAGCCGACACGAATCTAAAGACTGCATCCACAGCAATATCACAAGTTAGTACACTGGCATCTGGGTTTTTTGCATCGCGTGCAGCAACTGAAGGTTCAAAAGCCTTGAACAAAGCTCCATCCGAAGAGGACAATGGGAAGGAACCAGAGGCTCCCGGATTCTGGTCGCAATGGGGCACGGTTGCAGCGTACGCCGGCGCTGCAAGTGCCCTAGCTGCAGGCGGCGCAGTAGCTTACTTCAAGCGGGATGAACTTGGACAGGGTTGGGGTTGGGTGTCGTCGCATCTGGAATTCGTCGGTGTGCTGGTGAAGGGGGACGAACTCAAAGAGAGAGTGGAACGGGTGTCAAATATTGAGGGTGTTGGATTCGCAAACCTCTATACCGCGCTCGGTGACCGAGGTAGAGACAAAGGCGAGCGAACATTTTGCATATTACCGCAGAAGGGAAAAGGATGGTTTAGATGCACAAATACCATGGCCCAAGACGAGGTTAATGCGCATGTCAGCATGTTTCATCCAAAAACCAACCCCAAGTACTTTGAGATGTCACAATTGGCTAAAGGATTAGTAGTCCAATGGGCTACCAATGAGTGGTCTTATTATCCTGGGCCGCCGTCTAGAGATGCCGGAATGTCGATGAACGGGAGGACACTGAAGCGAGGTGAGAAGCTTTGATGCTTATGCGCGTTCACAGCGTTCTTTTTTTATTAAACAAGCAGTGGCTAATGCTTTGCCTTTGTGTTTTGTTTTTGTTTTCACCATAGCGGACGAGTGATTTTGCAGCATGTAACCTTTTTGGGTATTGAATACCATGAAACAGTTGATAATCTTATCTTTAATGTTATTTCAGATTCTGCCACACTTGAAGATTTTTTGATTCACTTTTGAACTTTACGAGATTCCGTATGATATGTTTGCCGCATTGTGTTATACAGTATCGCATGCTATACCAGCATGGATCTATCGTTCAAGCCCTTCCCATATAAAACAGCAGTGAGTTTTTGACAAGCCGGGAAACGCTAAAAATGAGGTCCTCTTGAGCTTCCATCTTCATTAAACTCAACTAAAAATTTTATGAAATTTTAATTTGAAAAGTTTCTCCCTTATTTTCATAGATTTCATGTCACCGGATTGAAGTCGTGCTTTTTTTTTTTGGGTGCGTCGCTACCAAAAAGGGAGGCGGTTCAATCTGGCGACATGAGAATGGCGGGCGGCACCCATGGGCCACCCGCTAGAGACCGTCATGAACAGCCCTCCACAATAGTTAGTATCACATCCCAAAGTCTGAACTACACCCCCAAAAAAATAATTCAACACCGTATCAACAAACGAGCGCCGCTCCCTGCCAATATTTCAACATCACTTATGCCCTCCCGAAATCTAATTTAATGGCCAGCCACTCAAGTCTCCTCTCCACGTCTGATGGTATTGTTAGCGTCGTCAACTATACCTACCAAGTACCCCTTAGACCGCTGTGACTTTCTAGTCCAGATTGCAACCTAGAACCCTAGCCTATTTGAGTAATCGTGACTACATCTACTACCAGTATGGCGATCCTTCTCCGGGCCACTTCTGTCAGGTCATGATCATGACGAACAATATATCAGCGGTGTCGGGAGGTACGATAAGTCGTTGCGGTAGGAATCTCGGGAAATCAGATACTCAACTCAGGTAGCAGGATACGCCGAATCTTACCACTCGAGGAAGGTTCATTACATGTTACTATCAGCATGTCTGTTCAAATAAAGCCTGTTAAGAGCTGTTTGTTTTAGGGGCTCTTATGTGCATCCGTGTTCCCAATGCAACCCCCGCCGTGATATAACTTAAGTTACTCCCGACAAGAATGTAGGTAATGCTGTTCCGGGCACTTAGACCACCCACCGTAGAAAGTCGAATGATCGGACCTTTGCTCTATCTGGCCCAAAATTCCCTTCTGTGTGTGTGGAATGGGGGCGGAAAAGCAAAAAAACTGCGGAAAACACATCCATTTTTCTTCACAGGATAACAAGGGAAAACATAAAAAATAATCTTGAGCTTACCTGGAGAGGAAGGGCCCAACGACATAGAACACGGTCCAATTATTCGAGTTTATACGGTATGACTATACCCGATCTTGAGAAGTCCTAGTGGTTTAGGTGGTGTATGAGGTAAATTTACTGTGCTCGAGTACTGCATCTTGCTTATGCAACTATGCCCCCATCGCAAAAGCAACATTTCCCTCGCTACATCCCTGTCCCTTTTCTTCGAGTGACAGCTCATGAACCTCTGCCCGTTGTGATGCTCTATGTTCGATAATGCCATACTATGCGCAGCTACTACCTTATCGGTCGGGTTTCCACCATGGCCGGTATATCCTCGGGTTGCTGAATAAGTCAATCATCTAGCTTCGCCACGTCTTGTGGGAGGTTATAGGCTTTTTCATACCACAAGTAAATAAGTCATTCAGATGGATGCTGGTGTGTATTCTTTCCTAGCCACCGTGGCGGCCGCACACTGAGTTTCCGGCTTCCTTTACTGACCTGAACCATCGCAAACCTCCCGGGACCTGTCTGGCTACGAGCGTCCCGTTCCGTTTTCACATAAAAATACTGTCACCCTTCCTTTCTGCAACCGTCATTTTGTCTGGTAAAACGGAGCGGAACGGTCGTACCAAAACGGACCCTTACTGTTTGATATTCCTGTGAGCTATCCTCTTGTACGAGTCCCTACTTTCCTCAATTTCTACTTTAGCGTCATTCTAGCCCAACCATACTGACTGCTATAGCTGTTGAACCTATCACAGCCAGCTGGAACTTTCTATCTCTTGAACTGGCGGATAATATTATTGAGACAAATTTCTACCTCCCAAAATAGGAATCCTGATAGCGGTGTTTCATTCTGAGAGGGATTAGGGCAACCACACTTGAGTTCGGGAAAACCACTAGTAAAAGTGAGCGGACTGTTTATAAGGGGAACACCGCGGGCTCCTGTCACGAGCTGATTTAAAGCCAGCCTTCTTCCCTCCCCTTTGCCAACAGCCGCGCCCGCTCCGGCATCCCACAACACGAGACCTCCGCGGTATCATACCGACACAAGTTTGCAAGTTCACATGTTCACTCTGGAGGCCTAGGGTATTGGTGAGTAGAAAGCTATGATAGTGGTTTTCAAGCGGTCGTGTTATACCCGGGGACCAAGGAGCAAGGCTAACAGATTTGATGTCTAGTCCAACATTAACTCTAAAGGCCAACTATAAGGCCCCATATAAGGCCCCATATATATATATATATTTTCCTCTCCCTGTCCTTTTTAGCACAGTTTTTATACCGGTACATTATACGGTGATCGGGCGAAAGTCGGATTGGAGCTGTAGAGGGACCGAGCCAGCAACAGGAGCGTAAAGACCACATACGGCGCCCGACACACCGGAAAAGGTGCGCTGAGGTCCATTTGGGAGGAAATCTACCGAGAGTCAGTGTATAGGGTGCAGGTACACCTTCTTTCTCACCGGCCTTTCGTGTCCTCCTCTCCTCTCCTCCGAGAAATCTGAGTCACCTTCTCTCTTAAAAGCCTCTTTCCTTTGGAACTGGGGACAAACCGCCCGCCCCCTACGGTCCTGGCAGTTTTTAGCAATTCCATCCGTGGAAAAAAATAAAGAAAAAATCCGCAACAATGTCGTTCACTCGTCTCCCAAATGAGATATTTATTGAAATCTCTGGTTTTCAAACTCTCGCAGACCAAACCTCCCTCTTCCGCACGAACAAGCACCTCGCCGGCTTCCTCCAGCACGTCCAGATCAGAACAGTACTCCGCACTCGCAGCAAGGCACAAGGTAGACGGGCTCTGTACGCTTTTGCCTCGCGCCGCGATACCGCCACTGTGCGATTCCTACTGGACCGTGGAATCCTCTCATTCGCCGGTACCCCGGGTTCAATCCTCTCCAAAGCGATACAAACACAGACCGAGACAACATTGCGCACACTTCTAGATTGCGGCATTAGTCCACAGGTCCCAGATGGCGAAATACCGATCCCATTGGTCACTGCCCTGGTGGATCGGAATGTGGGGATGCTGCGGATATTACTGAGCGAGGAGAAGTATGGCGTTGATGTGAATGCCTTTATTGTGCGTGGCGATACACCGCTAATATGGGCAGCCTCATATGGACACATGGAGGTTGTTCGTACGCTGCTGGAGCATCCCGGTATTAATGTGAATGAGTCGGGATCCGATGGATACTCTGCGCTTCGGGTCGCTCTGGACTTCAAGTATGTAGCTGCCTTGAGGTTGTTGCTCGAGGATTCCCGCGTGGATATTAGCACGACCAATGGCTATGGTGTAACTCCTCTCAACAATGCCATTCTTGGGGGATGTCCGGATATTGTGCGGTGGATATTAGAGAACCCGAGATTGAACATCCACGCCCCCAACCCCGACGGGAAAACCCCTCTGCACAGAGCGGCGTTCCTAAAGGATGCTACAATCTTGAAGATGCTATTACAGGACGGGAGGCTGGACGTCAATGCCAAATGCCCGGCCGGGCACACACCACTACACATGGCATGTGCCAACAGCGAAGAATCGGTGAGAGCATTATTGCGGGACAGCAGGACTAATGTTAATGCCCAAAACCAACGCGGTTCCACCCCGCTGCACTCGGCGGCTGCATCCGGGAGTAAATCCATCATTAGGGCCTTATTAGAGGATTCCAGGGTGGACGATTCCTTAAAAGATAATAGAGGAGACACCCCGCTGGCCAGAGCAATGTTTTGGTGCACCGGGCCTAGTGTTGTGGAATTCCTACGGGAGGAGCTGAAGAAGAGGTCTCAGATTGGCAGCAAGCCTGCAGTTGAAGAGCGCGCTATTCAAAGGCGGGAGGGTGGGTTATCGCACCGTATTCGCCAGAAGGAGTAAAGTTTATCCTTGGATATTGACTACGCAAGCCTCACCTTTTTTAATACTTGCGTGGTGAGTATTAAAAATAAAAGTATGCTGGAGAGCCACTTGTATGGTATCATACATGTATTCTACTTATTTGGGCTATTACGCACTCTACTATTCAATTAAAATGATACATAAAAATCGGTTCCTTTAGTGAAAACCCCCCATAAATTCTACTAACTCGCAATTCTTGGACATAGTTCATCGTGTTGTGTACTGTAAATCTACTGTACTCTACTCGAGTACCGTACCCCTCTAGGATGGACAGAGACGGTACTGTCACTGCTAGTACAACCTCGGTCACGATATGTGAGATCCAGGGAAATGCCTATTTCCTATCCAAAAAGGTCAATATCTGAACTTTAAGCCTTCAAATTCAATTCCCGGGCGAAACCTGAAGTGATAACCATAAGCAATTTTAACTCAACAAATTCAGAGGGACGACCCTTAAGACTACCCTATTGGGAGGAATTGGGATTTTGATACTGGGTAGAAAGTCACTTCTGGATCATGCTCATAGAAGCACAAATGAAAAAAAAAAGCTGAGATTGGGTTCACAGATTATAATTGATGAGGTAATCAAGTGTTAAAGTGACAAAGTTTTTTTTATAGAAAAAAGGTACATGGCAACCACACTACCTCCCACTTGATCCGTATCCTCTCCATAGTTCTATAATTTTTATGTGTTCTATAAAGTTATATATGTTATTCAGGGGTTTGATAATGTATCAAGAGATTTTGGTAGACAGTCGTAAGCATTAATGCTATCTGAGTGAGCAGGGGGGGGGGTAAAAAACTGGCGCCCCCAGTACAAAATGGCTATCGGACGAAAGGGTTTGAGCTAGCACTGTAGTAACCTCTCTGCAATAACTGAGCGGCTACAGGTAGTAACGCGAGGGATTCCTAGCCACTTACTCGTAGAGCAGAGGTTTAACTCAGTTTTG